AGGTCTTAGATCTTAGGAACTAAAATATCATTAGCATGCCTTCCTAAGGTAAATACATTCACGTATCTTTTTAAGAGCTGGAGTGACAGTGTGACACGGTGAGGTGGACCAAGTGTAGGTATGCAGATCTGGTGTGGAGCCCCCGGCCACACAGTAGCGGAATTTCTTAGACAACTCTGTTGGTGTCTTTGGACATCAGTTGACTCGTCTGTGAAATGGGGATAATAACACTTGTTTTAGAGATGCCAGTGGGATTGAATTTTAAAACCTGTAAAATGCATTATTTTATGTGCTTAATACAAAATGGTCATTATGAACAGGTTAATTTTTAAACATAATTTAGACAGCAGTTTTCTAAATACATTCACAGTGAACTTGGTCCACTCCCCCCAAAAATGCTGCTTTACTTTTTCTTCATTCAAGTTGAAATGTTTCACAGTTTTAATATATATTTATTTCAGAGTAAATATCCTTTGCCCCAAGGCTGTTCCCTGGGAATTTAAAATATTTTCTCAAATAAAGTTTCGATCTATATTGTTACCTGCTCCGGCTGCCACAGAGTATGTACAAGTCTACACAGCTTAAAAAAAAACACAGTATACAAAGTGCAGATGCTTCAAATCCACGTGGGTGGGAGAACTGGATGCAGGGTCCCAGGTCCACATGGCCCTGGGTCCTGGCTGGGGCTCCCTGGGTACCTCTCACAAGTACTTACCCTCCTGCTGGTACAGGACGGTAATTGTGAGGGTGCGTGAGGTGGTGACTGTGAGCCCAGCGCAGTGGCCCCAAGAACTCCATGAATTGTTACTAGACTTGATAATCCTTGAGTTCGCTGAGCCGTTACTGCTGCTGCTAGAAGGTCCTCCTGGTCCGCCTGCCTGGGGTCCCAGCTACCTCTTAGCCTCAACAGTAACCAGCAAGTCTTGTGAAGCCTGGGACCTGAGCATTCTCGTCTGTGATAAAGGACGGTGCTCCCTGGATCCCACGTTCCTTTAGACTCTGGCCAGGCGTGAACATTCTCAGTCAAACACAGAGCTGCCGGCGAGGACAAAAGTGGCTGAAAGTGGCGTTATTTTATGTTTCTCTGGATAAAGCAAGCAGTGCTACTGGATTTTCATTAAGAATTCTAGAAGTCCTGCTTTTTAATTACTTGTCATCATTTCCATCCAACAAGTCATTGTATTTCCAAGCGATTTTTGGTGCTGGCTCCGCGAAGCACTGACTTCAGGTGCAAAGCAAGGCGCCCCCCACCCCACCCCGCCCAACATCGCCACAGGTTGGTGGCCCTGTTATTGCAAAACTTTCTTTGCCTTCAGCCAAGGAAGAGTGTTGAACCAGAAAGGTGATTTTTTTTTTCTGATTCTCTAGTTCATTGTCATTGTCCTAAATAAGAGAAAAGCAATTGTAAAAGAAACCCGTCACATTTTTGTTAGAATGGATTTACTTGCAAATGAAAAAGAAGCTTGTGAACGAGTCTTCTAAGTGACCTTAGAGAGTGACACTGAGGTCCAGACTCCGTTCCCGGGGGGGAGACGTGACCTGCGGTTTCTCTCCTACCAAACTTCGGTTGGATTTCATTTTTAATAATGGCTTTATTATTTACCCTAGGCTGTTTCGCTCTGTTTGCTTTGAAATTTGAAACCACATATTTTCTTTGTAACTCAAATAAAAATGGGGTCACGCGAATGACCTTTCAGACAGAAACCACAGAGTCCGCCCACTTCGACAGAAGTAGCACACACGCTATCGCTGGAGAGCAGCGGGCTTGTTTTAAGACAAAAGATCACTCAGTTGCCATCAGGCTTGAAATCCAATGACAGGACGGTCAGTGCCAAGCGTGGACACTGGGGACGACACTTAGTAACAGCACTGGGTGACCGACAAACGCGGCCCCGAGCTCCACGCTGGGCCCTTTCGACCTGGGCCCTCGTGGAAGTCTCACCTCAGCCCCGTGAAGTGGCGGCACCATCGTGATCACCGAGCTGTCGGGAGGAAACCAAGGTGCGTGAGCTTGAGTAACTCGCCCGGGGTCGCAGGGCTGTGAGTGGCCGGCTCTGGAGTAATTGCGGCCGACCTTGACCCCGGGACCTGGCTCTGGACTGAGGGGCCCGAGTTAACAGGCAGACAGACCAGAACGACCTGTTTTCCTTTCTGGCCTGAATTCATCTGGGGACAAACAGTGAACGTCCCCTTGTCCTCGGGCCCTAGAATTCATCCTGAATTCTTTTTCCTGGCTCTGGGATGAAACTTCAGACAAGACCCATAGTCTCTTCAGTTCGTCTTAAATAATTCAGTCTTCAGATCAGTTTCAGGCATGGAAGAGCCCGGGCCAGGGCCACGACCGGAACTCCAGCCTCTTCTCCTGTTTCAGTTGGCTTCTCTCCCAGCGCAGGCCTGGGTTGGTCTGGAAACCTCTGTGGAGGAGGGGGCTTGATAAATCTCATGGGTTTTCCATCTCTCCTGGCTCCGGCTCCTTTCCCACTCATGACTAGACGTGACTTCTCCCCTGGGGGCAGGCCCCGTGAGGTGTAGGAATGCGCGGCAGAAGATGACAAGGGGTCCCCTCCTTGGCTCTGACACCTGTCATCCAGTGTCCCCTGGGCCTGGGACCCAGAGGTGGTTCTGTCTGGGAGCTTCTGGGTTCCCCGGGGGCAGGCCGTCCCTGGGGGCGTTGCGGCTCGCCCCTCAGTGCAGGCTCAGCTTCCTTTGGCGGGGGGGCTGTTTGGGGAGAGTTCCTTTTAAGATAAGCCCAGACCACCTTTCCTCAAGTACACGCAGCATCCTGTGGCCTGTGGCCTGCGGCAGAAGGTCCAGGGCCAACTCTGCCCTTAGACCTCTCAGGATTGCCAGACTCCGCCAGCTCCAAGAGACCCGGGTCAGGCGCTCTGGGGGCGGGAGGGTGCCTGCGTCCAACCTCAGCCCGTCTGAGGGGAGGGTGGGCGCACTT